ACGTAAGGCCTCAAGGGGAGAGGGAAGTTAGGAGGACAACAACATCCCTAGATAACACAAAGCCAGGCTCTCTCCCAAGGTAAAAGGGTAACAAAAAGCCAGATCCACGGACGACCGGTCCTGCCACATCTGTCCCAGCTCTGAGGAATGTATGGCCCACCTTGGCTGGGCTGGACCATTCAGCCAGCTCTGGTTCTCAGGATAATTAAACAGGCTGTGTGTTAGGTATCATCCACAGGGAGCTGCCTTCTGCTACTCTCTGGAGAGTTCCAGAAAACACGGAGGTGACCCTGCATCTTGGACTGAGCCGGCGACCACGGAAGAGGTGGGTCAGGGGTCCTGGAGAGAGGGTCATTGCCAACCAATTTACACAGGCCTGTTGGACCCTTCACGAGAACTCCTCTTTTTCCAAGTCTTGGACCGCTTTCAATCTTAGCGTGCAAAGAGGCTCCTGGGGCTAGCTTCGGAGCCTCCGCAGGGGGCAGACCCGAGGCAGGCGCTGAGTCCTCTTCCCTCTCAGGGACCCCACATCTGTGTGCTGCATCCGCGACCTCAGCCGAGCCTTCCTGGGAAGGACCCTTAGCTGGCCCCAGGGAGGCAGCGCTTCCACACGCAGACCAGAGTTAAAGGGGGTGGGAGAAAGGGCACTCAGTGCAGTTTTCTTTTGCAAACCACCAAAGGCCCTCATGTTCAATTCGAGAGGCCAGAAACACCCTGGCCCCAGCCCATCGACTGCATTTGAAAAGAAATTCGCAAGTTTCTTAAATGTGATTTTCACAACTAAAGGCTCTGGTTCCAATTACATCCTTAAGTCTTAAGCAAAAGAACCTTTTGCTTTAGGTCGGAGGAAAGTAGTGTTGGGTTGGGGGTGGAGCTGGGGAGCAGAGGAGACCACAAGAAGCCAACTCGGAGGGAAACGCCCACGAAAGGCAGAGGTGTGGCTCCGCGAGCTGCTCTTAGCCAGGAACTGGGTCGAAGGAGTTGGGGACACCGGGCAGGGCAGGTAAGCCTGCCTCCCCAAACAGTTACCATTTTGATCTGGTTGTAAAAGGTTTGCGGGACTCTCTTTTCGAGGGTTAGCTCACCACTGCACCTCTTTATACACTTGCACCCAATTTCTGGTTCCTAGAGGCACAAAGACAGGGCCACAGTCATCGCTCTTCGCATCCCTTTCCTCCAACTTCCCGGCCCAGATCAGTTCGGAAGTTGGGCCTCCTTCCCCTGCGGTCTCAGCCATCTGGACTCCCGATTTTCAGAGAAAACCTTCACTCTTCACCTCTGGGGTGGGAGTGGACACAAAAATCAAAACATAAGAGAAAATCACCATCCGGATGCGTGTTGGGATCTCTGTACACAGCCTAGGCTGGCGAAGGCCAGGACTTTGGGATCCCAGAGCGACATGGTCCCCGCAGGATCTCCCGGGCAGACACCCAGGAAGGAGAGAAAGGACTCGGCTGCCAGCCTTGGCCAGGCAGTGCGTCTTGCCTACTGCGCCTCCGAGACCACCCAGGACCCCGGGCGTCGAGGGAGCAATCTGGAAGGATCTTAGAACAACACGGGAAGAACGCGGCTGGGCTCGCCCCC